TCTGTCGCACGTCTGCTCCGAGGGGCGCGGCGGAATTCGGGCGGCCGCGGGCGGCGCGGAAGCGTTCGGCAGCATTTGACCGCTGTCCTCGGCGCGCCCGCGGGCTGCAGAGCCCGCTCGGGCGCGTGTCCGGGCTGGCTGTCGGGCGGCGTCGGGCAGCGATTGTTCGTTATATAAAGATATAGATGTATAAAAGCGCGCGCCAATTATCTCAGCCGCGCCCTGGTCTAGTCTGCGACAGCCGCGACTCGATATTTTGACTCGCGAAGCATATGTTTCCGTTTTTGCTTTGAATTTGGCGCGCCCGCGTTTTGGTTGCGCAGCGCCGTCTTCGAAGGAGGTCGGCAACAAGTATGCTTGCGACGCTCTCTCGCGACGTCGCGACAGTCGTGCCGCATCCCCCGTTGCTCGCATCGCTTGCGCTTGCGCGATGGCCGCGCTCGCGCGGTGAAGCTCGCGCTTCTCCAGGCCGCGCGCTGCCCTGAACAGGCCGCCGGTTTGTCGCTCGCACGCGATGCGCGCCAAACCCAACATGTGCGTAGATTTGTTGGGAAGCCCGTTGGGCGCTCCAAAAAAGCACCACCGCCTGTGGCCCCGCATTTTTGAACCGATTACATCTTGCCCCGTTCTGCCTGGCAAAAATGAGTACCCAGGGGAATTCTGAATGTTTTAGGCGCCGCCGTTGGCCAAACAGGCCTGGCAAAATCGCCGCCCAGCGGAATTCCTACCATTTCAAAGCGCCCGGTCGGGCAAAGGCGTGCTTTTGCGTTTTTTCGTTCGCGGGCCAAGAAATGCCAGGGATGCGACACATGTTTATAGCAAAGGCCCACCCAACTGGATCCTCCTTCACCGCCCGCCCCTCCCCCCCCCACCACATACTCCTCATCCGCCCCGCGCCTGCCTTCCTCATCCTCCTTCAGCTACAGGCCCGGAATTATGTGTACATCTATATGCCCGACCCCCGGGGCTCCGTCGAGCGGGGTCGATGCGCGCGTTGTGTTGTGCGTTTGTATGGCGGGTTTTGTGCGCATAATATTTCGAACCATTTCTGTTCGCGTTGCCGTGGGTTGTATCGCAGTGTGGTGGCAGCCGCGTTGTGCGAAGTTCTTCTGGCCGCGCTCTCCTGAATTATTCAACCCTACGTGTGGCACTGCGTGTCTCCTGCCAATCTTGAGGATCCCTCCAGTTTGTGGGACCAAAGCCTTACAGTTATCATCGCTCTGGGCTTGTCAATCTTGGGCAGAGGGACGAGCTTAATTCTGGTTACTCCGAGTACTCCCCAGACTTCCGACGTTGTTCCCGACCATCCTGTGGTGTTGGGTCTTCGTTTTGAAGAGACAGCGCCCCGCGTTCCTCCTCTCCTCCTCCTCCACTTCCTCCTCCCCTTCCTCCTCCTCTTCCTTCTCTTCCTCCTCCTCCCCCTCCTCCTCCTCCTCCTCCTCTTGAAACGCAGCGACGAGCGAGGTAAGAAAGTGGCGACAGTTTCACAGATCGCAGCCCCCCAGGGATGGCGAGGTCCCATGTGAATCCGCCGTGGGTACCCACTGTGCTGGGCCCCCCAGCAGGCCTCGAAAGTGGCGACAGTTTCACAGATCGCAGCCCCCCAGGAATTGCGAGGTCCCATTTGAATCCGCCGTGGGTACCCACTGTGCTGGGCCCCTCAGCAGGCCTCGAAAGTGGCGACAGTTTCACAGATCGCAGCCCCCCAAGGATGGCGAGGTCCCATTTGAATCCGCCGTGGGTCACTGTGTTGGGCCCCCCAGCAGGCCTCGAAAGTGGCGACAGTTTCACAGATCGCAGCCCCCCAGGGATGGCGAGGTCCCTTGAAACACTGTGCTCCCCCAGCAGGCTCGAAAGTGGCGAGTTTCACAGATCGCAGCCCCCCAGGGATGGCGAGGTCCATTTGAATCCGCCGGGGTGCACACTGTGCTGGGCCCCCCAGCAGGCCTCGAAAGTGGCGACAGTTTCACAGATCGCAGCCCCCCAGGGATGGCGAGGTCCCATTTGAATCCGCCGCGGGTGCACACTGTGCTGGGCCCCCCAGCAGGCCTCGAAAGTGGCGACAGTTTCACAGATCGCAGCCCCCCAGGGATGGCGAGGTCCCATTTGAATCCGCCGCGGGTGCACACTGTGCTGGGCCCCCCAGCAGGCCTCGAAAGTGGCGACAGTTTCACAGATCGCAGCCCCCCAGGGATGGCGAGGTCCCATTTGAATCCGCCGCGGGTGCACACTGTGCTGGGCCCCCCAGCAGGCCTCGAAAGTGGCGACAGTTTCACAGATCGCAGCCCCCCAGGGATGGCGAGGTCCCATTTGAATCCGCCGCGGGTGCACACTGTGCTGGGCCCCCCAGCAGGCCTCGAAAGTGGCGACAGTTTCACAGATCGCAGCCCCCCAGGGATGGCGAGGTCCCATTTGAATCCGCCGCGGGTGCACACTGTGCTGGGCCCCCCAGCAGGCCTCGAAAGTGGCGACAGTTTCACAGATCGCAGCCCCCCAGGGATGGCGAGGTCCCATTTGAATCCGCCGCGGGTGCACACTGTGCTGGGCCCCCCAGCAGGCCTCGAAAGTGGCGACAGTTTCACAGATCGCAGCCCCCCAGGGATGGCGAGGTCCCATTTGAATCCGCCGCGGGTGTACACTGTGCTGGGCCCCCCAGCAGGCCTCGAAAGTGGCGACAGTTTCACAGATCGCAGCCCCCCAGGGATGGCGAGGTCCCATTTGAATCCGCCGCGGGTGTACACTGTGCTGGGCCCCCCAGCAGGCCTCGAAAGTGGCGACAGTTTCACTGATCGCAGCCCCCCAGCTGGCACGCAGCGACGAGCGAGGTCAAAGGCAGGGGGGAAGAGAGGGAGATCGCAGCCCCCCAGCTGGCACGCAGCGGCGAAGGCAGGGGGGAAGAGAGGGAGGGGGGGGGGGCGGGAAGGAATGAGACGCGCGAGCAGTGCTCTATTCAAAACGAGAACCCAACGCAGGAGGGTTGGGAAAAAGTAGTCGTAGGCCGTCCCAGCCTGCGCCACGGGGGAAGCGTCGTGCCTGGGACTTCGGGGCTGGTCCCGACTCGCCAGTGCGGCGGGTGGGGGTAGTCCAGGGTCCCAGTGCGCGGACTTTCCTTCCGTGTTTCCGTGCCCGGTTTGTGGGTTTATGCCACGTTTTGCTGCGACACCCTTGCGGTGGCCCAAATGGTACTCCTCCAGGGTTCGGGCGGTGTCGCGGGTCCCCTGTGCGGGGGGGGCTCATTTGAGGATCCCCGCCCATTTCTCCCACCTTCACGGTCCCCGCCGTGGCGTGCGTGGGGGCGGGTTGTCCCTGAGGGAGTGGTGCACCTCGGGTGGCTTATCGGGGTGGCACGACCGAGAGCGGCGTGTCGTTACGTGAGGCCTCGAAATCGTTAGAACGCTTTTAGCTGCGCTGCGTTATTTTTGCTTTTGCCGCCTCGCACACTGGTCGCGCGCATCGGCTCTAAACGCCTGCAGCCCTCGTTTTGCGTGTCTTCGCGGTAAGCTTCGCCGCCTCCAGCCACAGGGTTTGGAGGAGCCCGCGCGGGCTCCAGCCGCGCTGGGGCGCTGGGGTGGTTCTTGAGCCAATGAATGCTCGAGCCGACTCCTGCTCTCACGGTTGGCCCATGGCGCCCTGACGCGGTTTGGGTTGCTCCACTCCGCTCCCCCCCATCCTGGCCTCTTCGGCACACCCCTCACACGTTTCGTGGCCCCATAGGGAGCTCCACCGAATGCCCCAGTGCCACCGCCCGCATGCGTCCGCCACACCCATGTCGGCACCTCCCATCACACGTTACACCGTTACGTGGCCGCATAAGGAGCTCCCCGACGGCGTTCGCATCCGGTTCCATCGCCATTTCGGCACACCTCTCACACGTTTCGTGGCCCCCATAGGGAGCTCCACCGAAGGCCCCAGAGGCTGCGTTCGCACGCGGTTCCACCGCCATGTCGGCACACCATTCACACGGTTCGTGCCCCCACAGGTAGCTCCACCGAAGGCTCCAGCGATTGCGTTTGCATGTGGTTCCACCCCAATTTCGGCACACCCCTCACACGCTTTGTGGCACCGTGGGGAGCTCCGCCGAAGGCCCCACTGGCTGTGTTCGCATGCGGTTCCACCCTCCTATGCCGGCACACCCCATCATACGTTTCGTGGCCCTATAGGGAGCTCCACCGAAGGCCCCAATGGTTGCGTTCGCATGCAGTTCCACCGACGTGTCGGCACACCCCTCACACGTTATTTGGCCCCATAGGGAGCTCCACCGAAAGAGCCAGTTTCTGCGTTCGCATGCGATTCCACCGCCATTTCGGCACACCCCTCGAGGCCCCCATAGGTAGCTCCGCCAAAGGGCCCGGTCGCTGCATTCGCATGCGGTTACACCGCCATTTCGGCACACCCCTCACACGCTTGGAGGCCCCATAGGGAGCTCCACCGAAGGAGCCAGCGGCTGCGTTCGCATGCGGTTCCGCCGCCGCATGCGCCTCCCCTCCCATTCCAACACACCCCTCGAACGTTTCGTGGCCCCCGTAGGGAGCTCCACCGAAGACCCCAGTGGCTGCGTTCGCATGCGGTTCCACCGCCATTTCGGAAATAATCTGGTCTGTTTCACAACTGCATCTGGTTGGGTCCTTCGCCAGGATCATGTTTTTTCAAACGCGGTTTCCCAGAAGTCTGGGCCCTGGACCCCCTTCCCAGGAACCAGTTTTTAGACTTATCCGTTTGTTCACAGCCCGCGGGCCCAGTAAGGGTCCCTGAAGCACGAAAACGGCAAAAACAAATCTGTCGTGATTTTGTTTCCGACGCGAGGTGGTTTGGTTTACGGACCATAACTCAGGTCACCGGCGGCCGTTGGGAACGATCCGGGCACCCCCGGGACGCTGTCGGCGAGGCACAGCTGCTTGGAAGCATCTCACCCCGAGGCTGGAAGACCCCCGAAACCGACGATGACGTCCTGAAACCGATCCGGCGACCCGAGCATGCCTCTGCCTCATGGCCCCGCCCAGGCCAAGCGCGGCGCGGAACACCCCGCGGACGACGGGCCAGCGGCCCCCCCCGCACGGAAGCGCCGGCGGCTGGCGCAGAAGTGCGCGCGGTCGCTGCTCTTCGTGGCGGGCGACCCCGCGGAGCCTAGCAGGAAGGCGCGCCGCGTGAGCGATCTCTCGCCGGAGGAGGCGGCGCCCCCGGGGGCCAGGGATCGTTTCAAAACGGGCAGTGCCAAGGAGGGTGACCAGTGGGAGGGGGGGCACGAGGGTCGAGGAAGGGGGGGGAAGGGTCGAGGAGGTCGACGGGGGCGAAGATCGAGGATTAGGGGGAGGGTCGGTCTTTTCTCGGAAATCGAGGGACGAAGAGGAGTGGGGGGAGAAAGGATCGATAAGGTCTCGGACGTTTTAGGGACATTTTCGGGAGTCCCAGCGGGTTCTGGGTGGTCCATGGGGGTCCGCTTCCTCAAGGAGATGGCGTCCCCATTTTGTGATCACCTCTTCTGGCATTGCTCAGGATAAGACCGAGGGCGGCTCAACTGTATGGCCAGTCGACGGTGCGGCCTTCGGAGAAGGAGCTTCTGCACAGACGCACAGACACACATAAATGTTATTCGTGTTGATCAAGCTCACTCCCCAGGAATGTAAGAGGCCCGAGAGGGTTTCCCCAGAAGCTTCGAGTGGCCTGCGGTTTCATTCCTATGTTATTTTTCTTCCTTGGCCTAGTGCTACGCCAGCTGTTCGAGCCGCGCTCACAGCAAAAACATCCCTGGCGCTGCGCGCCGATCCATATCACAGTGGCAGCCTGGAACGAGGCCGTTCCGCTATCACGGCCTGCGGCTGTGCATTTTGCAAGACGGCGTCTGCGACACGTCTTCTTGCATCGAGGCCCAGCGGTTTCCTGACCAGCCTGGTCGCGTTGTTGCTCAGCGCCTTCTCCACCGTCAGCGACGCTAGCATCATCCACATCAGCGTCAGCGACGCCGACATCTACGCCGACCCTGCCAACTCCTACGACAGCGTCAGCGACGCCGTCGCCAACGCCTACTTCGCGTACGTCAGCGTCAGCGACGCCGACATCAACGCCTACTTCTCCGACAGCGTCAGCGTCGCCGCCACCAGAGCCTACTTTCCCTTACGTCAGCGTCAGCGACGCCGACATCAACGCCTACTTTTCCGACAGCGTCAGCGACGCCGTCATCAACGACGACTTCGCCTACTTCTCCCAGGCCAGCGCCAGCGACGCCAGCATTAGTGCCTACTTCTCCTACGGCAGCGTCAGCGACGCAAGCATCAACGCCTATTTCTCCAACGCCAGCGTCAGCGACGCCAGCATCTACGCCTATTTCTCCAACGCCAGCGTCAGCGACGCCAGCATCAACGCCTTCTCTTTCCTACGCCAGCGTCAGCGACGCCAGCATCAACGCCTTCTCTTTCGACGTCAGTGTCAGCGACGTGGCTCACTACCTCATTCCTGATAAAATGACGGATAATTATGCGTACAACGCCATCCCTACATGGAATGGCGACCCGGCGAAGTGGAGAGATTACAAGCAGGAGGTCAAGCTCTGGAAGCTCAGTGAGAACCTCGCCGTGGCCCACGGCCTCGCATCGAAGCTCGTGCTGAAGCTAGGTGGGGCTGCCCGCGGCGCAGCATTGAATATGACTGAAGCGCAGCTGCACCCAGCAGCCGCGGCGGACATCGGATACCCCGATGACAAGACCCGCAGTAGGAACCAGGTCGGCGTCGAGAAAGTGCTACAACACTTGGGGGCCAGTCTGGGTCAGCAGAAGCCCGCGCAGAAAGGCGAGACCCTCGAGAAGCTCTCGAGTCGACCCAACATCGCCGACGAAGAGGCGAACGCATGACGGATTGGCTCATCTGATTCGAGACTGGACTACAGCAGCTACAAGATAATGAGGTGGACCTCAACGCGCTGGACGACGTGGCGGGATGGTTCCTGCTGCGCAAGGCTGGGCTCGGGGCAGAGCGCCGAGAGCGTGTCGTGGGCAACCTGCCCAACGAGCGCTACGGCTACCAGCGCATTCGCGGGCTGCTGGTCAGGATGCCCCTGGACATCCACGCGTCGGAGCACCGCGCCCCCCCGCCGCGGTCATGGACCCGCTAGTCGCGCTCACAAGGCGGCTGGCGCAGCAACGTTTCCCCCAGCCGCGGGGGGCGCTCTACCAATGTCGTCGACGAGCCGGGCGACGAGAACGACGAAGATCAAGAGGAGGACGACGAGGGCGAAATCGACGTCCAGGACATGGTTCGCCAGGAGCTCGAGGCCTTCAGCGCCGAGCTCGAGTCCTCCAACGTAGACGTCTCCGAGCTGTTCGACGACGACGACTCTGCCGAGGTCGGAGCTGCTGCAGCGGAACTTGCCGCCATTCCCGAGGCCATGGCCACCGTCAGATCGGCCCGGGAGGCCCTCGGGGGCCGCGGCAAGTCAAGGTCCGCACCGCCCCGCCGCCCGACCAAGCTACAGGGCCGGGTCGACCAGCGCGAGAGGAACGCTTCTTGCTGGGGCTGCGGCGAGACGGGGCGCTGGACAGGGGGCAAGGAGCGCCCCGCGCCAGGTGCTCGCAAGTTCGCGCCCAAGGACGGCAAGTCAAAAGGCGGTGGACGAGGAGGTCGCGGGGGCCGTCCTCAGCGCCAGGCGCGCGTCACCGAGCAGGTCCAGTTCGCGGGCGATGAGATCGCCATGCACCCGCGGGGGCCAGTCACGCTGCGTCTCGGAGCGGCTCATTCACCTCCTGCCGAACGTGAACGTCGCGATCGGCAGCGACAAGCCCGTGGGCGAAGGCGTCGGCGTGGTCGACGCCGCCTGCCTCTTCTGCGTCTCGGGCAAGACGTGGTGCGACAACTACAAGGACATCCTCGCGAGAATGGGACTTGCCGGCCAGATCCTCGAGGAGCCGGAGGGCGAGGTCTACAGGTTCGGCAACGGAGGTGCACTCCCAAGCAAGCTGCGCGTCACCGCGCCGCTTGCGTTGTGCGGCCAGGCTGGCCGCATCGTGTTCAGCGTCGTGGACAGCCCCGCGCTGGGTTTGCTCATCGGCCGCGACTTCATCCAGCCCTCCAAGATCGACGTTTCTCTCTGGAAGGGCCAGATCCGCATCGGGAACGCCGCCCAGAAGCTCACCGCGAGCGCCGCGGGTCACCCCGCAATCTAGTTGCAGCCGGAGGACTGTCAAGCCATCAAGGACGCACGGGGCAACCGCCCAGCGCGGCCAGCTCGTCCGGAAGGAAGCGACGGCTGGACAAGACCCTGTACGTAGAGGTCTCGAAGACGCTCGACCGACGAGATCGGAAGACGTGGACGGGCGACCAGCCCACGGTCAACAACGCAACCAGGACCAGCGTGCTGATCGACACCATCAGCAACCTCGTCACGAAGAAGGAGCTGAACGTTCCGAGACGTCATCAGACTCGGCGGCCCAAGGGGTCGCGGCTACTTTCGGCCGTGGCCTCAGCTCTGGTCTGCTGCTCCACCTCAGCTCCAGCTTCGAATCTCACGCTGGCGACGCCGCCGCAGACGACCTACCCCGCGACGTGCGCGACCGAGGCCCTGCAGGACTGCATCGCCTGCGGCGAGGCGACTTTCGAGGCCTGTAGCCACCGGGGGTTATGCTCGGACTGCGCCTTCGGCGCGCCCGTGACCCTGAGCCACGGCCAGGGCCCCATCGCCAACGGCTGCCTCGCACCCGAGGCCAACGTCGTGGAGGAGGAGCAGCTACTCGTGGGGGCGCTCAAGAAAGGGGCGAAGCCGCAGCTGATCGCTGGCAAGCGCTCAGTATTCGTCACCAGCAAGAGCGGCATCCAGCCGCGCAAGATCGGCCAGGCCTCGATTACTAACCTGGCCAAGTCTACAACCAGATCCAGCCCGACCTCCGCAGCGAACAGCACCGTGCTCTACGAGTGGCGCTGCATGCAGCCCAGACAGCAGGCTCAGCGCCGTCTGGAAGAAGAAGGGAGGAGCTGCTGTCAGGTGCGGTCTCCCAGGCTTCGACCTCTCCAATCAGGTCGTGGTCCAGAAGCTGGGGGGCAGGATCCGGAAGCACCTTGCCGCAGGCAAGAGTGTGCGAGTTCACGCTGCGTTTCCCTGCCAACCGTGGACATCGCTACGACGACTCGTCGTCAAGATCGACCCGAGCAAGATCCCCAGGTTGAATAGGGATTGGGAGATGTCCAAGCAGATGATCGGCCTGTTCCTGCAGTCCATGTCACGGCTGCGCGAGGAGTTCGGCGCCCAGCTCGCCGTCTCGTTCGAGTGGCCGAGGTGCTGCGACGGATGGGGCCCCAACAAGAACGCCATTGCCAGCAGCTGATGGGGCAGCTTCCGCGCGTCGTGGACTTAGACGGCTGCGCGTTCAACCTCAAGACAATAATGGGATCCACATTAAGAGGCCGCGGCGGATCTTCACTGACCATTTCGGTTTCGACGACTCGCTCAGGCGCTTACGCAGCGGGGGGCACCCACGCGCAGAGGCCCGCGGGAAGGACGCGAAGCGCAGCGAGAACTACGCGACCAAGCTCGCGACGGTGCTAGCCGAGCAGCTGCGACGTCCGAACCGCCGACCTGCACGTGAAGCTCGCCCTACATCGACGACGAGAAGGGCAAGAAGAAGGACGGTTCCAGCCACCGCAGCCGCTCAGGAGCCAGCGCTCACGGCCGCGGAGGAGCGGACACTACGGTCCGCCATCATGCAGCTCCACGTGAACACTGGGCACCCGTCCAACGATTCACTTGCCCGAGCCATTCGTGTGACTGGTGGACCGCAGAGGCCCATCGACATGGCTCTCAACTCAACCTCTATTGCGAGGCTTGCGCAGCACATCAGCGACCACTGCCACACCTACCAGGACGGGTCAGACTGGACAGGGACTTCAACGACTCCATCGGAGTGGACCTGTTCACCTTGGCCTCAGCGAGTTTGATGGAGGAGGCGAGTTCGAGCGAGAGCTCTCCGCGGAGCTCGAGGACATGGGTTGCCGCCTGATGCGGACATCTGCGGCGACGCCGCAGCATAATGCTACCGTTGAGCGGCGCGGAGGGATGTGGAAGGTGCACGCGAGGAGGCTGATCGACCAGTTCAGCATCAGGTTCGACCAGCTCTCGGCCGCTCACAAAGTTCAGTGGATGGTCGCCTCCGTGTGCTGGGCCATGAACAGGCAGGTCAACTCCGCG